AATTTTCCACAAGGGCTGAACGACGTGGTGTGGTGGGAACATGACGGTATCAAAGGCAATCACCTCTGGCAGTTGGGTGCTCTTCACCCCACACAAGATGGCGGTGGCGCGTGCCGTGGTCATCGCTGGATCCAGGGGGGCTGATCTTTCCTTTTTCTGTTGCTTTCTTTCTCTCTCTTTCTAGTCTTAACAAAAGGCTATCTACGGCAAGGCTGCTTTCTTTTGCTCACTAATAGCTCGTTGTTCTGAGGCGTGTTATTGTGCCCCTTTTATTTTTTATTTTCGTTGTTGTTGTGGGTCCCCCCATTTGGTGTCTCACCGCGGGTCAAAGTTGGCCAGGGCACACATCATCTCGGGGGCGCGGATGAGCTTTTCGAGGCTGCTAATGACATCGGGGAACTTGGGGTGCCTGGCACGGTCCTGCTGCCAGCACTGCGTCATCCGCTGGTAGATGGCAGAGGGGCAGTACAGCGGGGCAGGGAGGTGGAAGCCCTCACTGATGGCCTTCATCACCTGTGAGGAGGACAAGGTTGGGCGGTGCTCCTCGCAAAGCACGAGCGTCCCGTTCGGGCAGCAGAGGAGTGTGGGTGCTCACCTCGTGGTTGGAGAGGTCCCAATACAGGCACCCACCGTAGGACATCACCTCCCATGTGACGATGCCGTAGCTCCAGACGTTGCTGGCGGAGATGATTTGTGGTAGGAGATGGCTCTGGGGGCCGTCCAGCAGATGGAGATCTTCCTGCCCTACGGTGACAGCGAGGTCAACCCCGCACCCCCAGAAAATCACCAAACCCCTGGCCAACTCCAGCCCACCTCGATGGCACCTCTGCTGGTGGTGTAGGTGGCTTCAGGGTCATCTTCCAACATCCTTGAGAGCCCAAAATTGGACACTTCGCACACCAGGTTGCTGTTGACCAAGATGTTCTGGGCAGACAGGTCCCAATGGACATAATTCATGTTGGCCAAGTACTTCATGCTGGCAGCAATGCCCCTCAACATCCCCACCAGCTGGATGACACCAAATTCCCCCTCTTTTTTCTAGGGAAAAAGGGGAAAATCTGGCCTCAAATCCCATCTCTCGGCCCACCTCCTGTGATGGGTTTTGGTGGGTCCACCACCCAAGAACCCTTGCTTAGGGATACGACGTTGTCACCAGGCTTCACCTACCCACAGGAATTTATCCAACGCGCTGTTCTTCATGTACTGCATGGTAATCATGCAGGGTTTGCCTGTACACAAAAAATATATACCCCAAAATAAGTCAAAAACTGCTCCCATACTTACTGACCCATCGTTGTTCAAAACACCCTACTTTTATATAGGTTTGCGGGGGGAGTGTTTTGCAGGGAAATTGGGGTTTTGAGGGGGATGAGAGGAAACGGGACTCACACTTGGAGACAACTCCTTCCAGGCGGATGATGTTGTGGTGGCAGAACTGGCTCATGATGGCGGCTTCGCGCAAGAAGTCCATCTGTTGCTTCTCTGTGTAGCCCATCTTTAAGGTCTTGATGGCCACCGGCACCTCCTTCTTGCCACGCTTCAGGATGCCTTTGTAGATGTCTCCAAATTCACCTGCTCAGAGGAAGAGGGGGGACATGCTTAATCCACACACCCTGGTCCAATTTTGGGTGTGTCTTGAGGGTGACAAAGGCACCTGAAGACACACCGGCGCCAATGACCTTCTGGCAGGTGATGGAGGATGGAGGGATCTCTGTGGTGAACTTGAGCATGGCTTGGTTGGGGTCTTCATAGGTGTGTGGGTCAACGTAGGTCTTGAGGGGCTTCAGATGGTCTGTGGGGTGCCGAGGGCTGGGGGTGGGTGGGCGTGTCAGCATTCATGTCACCCCCACCCACCCCTGTTGACCCCACCACCTCATTGCTCACCTCACGTGGAGAAGTAGGTGTCCTCGGCAGACTGCTGTGGCCGCGATCTCCTCCTGTGGAAAAGCAGGGATTTCTCCCTCAAAAAATCACCCCTTGCCCATATTTGGTGGAGGAAAACTGCTCTTTTGGGGTTTGAGGGGAGGTTGTGTTGTTGTTTTTTTTTATCTCCGTACCTCTGGAGAACATAGAGGAGAGCAGCCAAGAGGATAAGGACGAAGAGGACACCAGTGACAGAGCTGCTGCTGATGGTGGCAGATGCCATGGCCTCAGCACCTGTGGGGACAATTCGGGGTGGGTGAACCATGCACCCCCTGGACCCACCCTCCCCCACCCCCAAATCCTGGCCTCACCTGGGTTCTCACCCTCAGGCAGGGTCTCAAACTCATGCTGGAGGCTCATATGGGCTTTTAGTCCTTTACTATATGTTCTCTAAGTCACCTTCAGTTCTCCCGCTTTGATCTACCTCTGTACAGCAGCTTTGGTTGATCACTGCACCCTTCTTTCATGCTTAATAAATCCAGTGCCATTCTGTTCTGTAAAACCACTTTTGGTAACGACTTAGGGACAGAACCAGGGGGAATGGTTGCAAGTTGCAACAGGGCAGGTTTAGGCTGGACATGAGGAAGAAATTCTTCACAGAAAGAGTGGTCAGACCCTGGCACAGACTGCCTGGGGAGGGGGTTGAGTCGCCATCCCTGGATGTGTTCAAGTGTCGTTTAGATGGGGTGTTGGGTCATGTGGTTTAGGGGTGACCTTGTAGTATGGGATTAATGGTTGGACTCGATCCCAAGGGTCTTTTCCAACCTGAATTGTTCTATGGTTCTATGATTTATCTCTACCTGGAGTCCACTCATAGCGCCTGCAGTCAAACTGACTATTTCCTCTAAGGTCACTGAAGCATTTACAATTGCCCTCTCTAACTGAGGCACTCCTAAAGAGGAGATGAGCCACCGTGCAAAGCTACGATATCCCGTTCCATACCTTACCAGGGGATTCTTATGTCTTCTAATACTTTTCCAGAGGGTCCTCAAAATACCTCGTGGAACTTCAGATGGGTTGGACATCCTGTCCTGAGGCACTGGACATCCAGTCATAGTGCCCCATTCCATAATGCAGGCAACCCTTTCCGAGCTCATCCATCCCCCCACACCACCACCAGCCCTCTGGTAGGCACCCTCCCAGATAGTTCTGCCTAAGAGCTGTCATCACCAGAAGCGGCACCCACGCCACACCGGCAGGTACCTCGTAAAGAAATATTTACTTACTACCTTGGCCTTGCCATGGTCATCCGCACATACAGTCCTGTTTAAGGCGGTGTAGTTTAAAGTTTCCTACCTTCGGAGCATTTGAATCACTACAGCTAATAAAGGTGGAATTCCCTATTCTTTGTAATTCAAATCGAGGTCCCTTGCTATAGTTCCCAATTTGTTGACAACCCTGCCCAGAAGAGCTATTTAAAGGCCAATTCCAATCACCTAAACTTGCAGGAATTCCATATAAGCGTACTTAAACCTTGTGCGTGGTAAAGCTACACGTACCCAGCAATCCTTTGCATTTGTAGCATTTACTAATGCTTGGATTATCTGGTAGTGAACATTCTTTTGCCAGGCAGTGACAATATTCACAACAGTAGTCATGAACAACACATGGAATGTTCTCATCCTGTTGTCTCTGTAATGTCAGCTTTAAAGGTCACACAGACTCTGAAGTCCACTGCTTATCTGGAGCTTTCTTCACTCTGTAATGGATCCGGGCAGGTTGCTCTCTTACCTTGGCTGCAGGGAAGGTGATCAATAGCACCTGGTACAGTCCGTTCCACTTCTTTTCCAGTGGGTTACCTGAAAGATTCTTAACATAAACCCAATCTCCAGGACTAAACGGGTGGATTTTGTGATCCAGTCCCCTAGCCCTGGTTCCCAGAACACTCTTACTTATCACCTCTAGTTGTTTTCCTAAAGATATTACCTACTTCTGCAAATAACAATTCCCCAGTTGACCCAAATCTTCCCCCTTGAACTTGGTCCGATATGGTCTCACGTATAATATCTCAACAGGGCTCAAGTTTGCCTCGGCTCTGGGCTTCCCTTGTACTCTTAATAATGCTGTGGGCAACGTCTGATACCAATACAAATTTGCGTCTTGACATATTTCAGCTCTCTGGTGCTTTATCACATGATACATCTCTTCTACCTGTCCACTAGCTTGTGGTCTATAGGGAGTACGTAGTTGCCAATCAATCCCCAGTATTCTACTAACTTGTACTATTTGTTCGTGAAAGTGAGTGCCCCTGTCTGATCAAATAACTGTAGGCACTGAATTGAGGTATTATCTCATTTAGCAATACCTTAGAGCCTTCCCTTGCCTTGTTGGTTCTACAAGGAAATGCCTCTGGCCATCCAGAAAAAGTATTTGTCAAAACCAACAAGTATCTGTACCCCCTTTTTCTTGGCAGTTCAGAAAAATCAATCTGCCAGTGGTCTCTCAGTACATTCCCTTTCCCTAGGGTTCCCCATTGTCCTCAATGTCCGGTGTCAGGATTATTTCTCTAAGTAATACCTTTGATACCTTTCTTACTTTATTGGTGCGACAAGAAAAAGCCTCTGGCCAGCCTGAAAAAGTATCTATCCTTATGAAAAAGTACCGATACCCTTTTTGTTGCAGTAGTTTGGAAAAATCTATTTGCCAATAGCAGCAATTTTGCCTTGTGACAGCTTCAGGGCTCTTAGAAAAGCCGTAAGTTCTGTTTTCTGGTCCAATGTGTTAGGTGGTAGAGCTTTAGCCTTGATTACTCCTTTTACAGTTACCACTGCAAGTCCTGCTTTTCGTATTCAATCTCACGTACAGCTGCTGCCATCCGCAGACAGGTCCCAGTCCACATCTTCCACGTTTCAGGTCAGCTCTGCTGGAGTGCGCCTGCTCCGTTGTCTGCAAGCAATCAGAGTTAGCTCAGGGTCGGCAGTTGGGGAAGTCGCTGGACTCAGGGTCGCAGTCACTCTCAGTTCCACGTCGTCCTGCTCCCAAAGAACAGCTTGGGATTTCAGCATCCGGCTCAGTGACAGCCACTGTCCTCCCTTTCGCTCCAGGACAGCTGCAACTGCCTGGGGTACAAATCCCGTCAGTTTTTGTCCAGCTGTTAACTTCTGTGCCTCCTGGATCCATAGCACTGCCGCCGCCACTGCTCAGGGACAGGCTGTCCTCCCTTTGCTGACATTATCTTGTTGTCTTGAGAAGTATCCTCTAATTTAACTGGCTACTGCTTTCTCATTACCAGTCTGGCATCTGGCTTCAGCTGGGTGGTTCCCGGTTCAGCTGCTCGAGATCTTCCTGGTGTTCCCGAGGCCCAAACCAGAAGCATTGCGGTGCTTTCAACTTCCTCTGGTATCTTCTGCTTCTGTCTGTAACATAAGAACTTCGGCATCCAGAACTTTATTTTCAAGAATATGAACTTGAACTTTCCTTTTTCAAAAGTAATCTGTGCATTCGGTTTGCCCGATGGCGACACAGGGCAGTCCGGGACATTAGGAACTGCTGGGGTAACACCCTTTGCCAGTTCTAAACTTCAAAGGCTAAAAAAAAAAAGGCTGGCTTTATCTTTGCCCTGTGGCACCAATAACTGACTCAGTCTGCTTACTAAAATTACCTTTACATGTGTTGAATACTAAATAAGTAGCTCCTATACCTACTAGAAACTTTTCTTTTTTCCCTCAACCTTATTATATCCAGGGGCTCTGCTGGGAGGTTTCCCAAAGTCTGAACCAACCATCACCCCGTTAGCTGTCTGCCCCGGCACTCCATCAGATCCCTGCTGATTCTGTTTTCCAGTGCCCCTTCTGTTTACAAAGGCACGCTGATCTTTTTCTAACGGCATTCCGGCCTTTGGCATTCCACTAGGATCTTGCTTGCCTCTGTCCTTGGGCCCTGTTATTTTCCTGAGCTAGAGCCACTACCAGGGGCTTGTTATCTCTGAGGTTTTTTTGGTTTTCTGTTTTGTTTTGTGCTTTTTTTTCCTCTGCTTTTCCTGCTTCAGTTTCTCTCTGTTGCTATACACTTTCCAAGCATACTTCAGTAATTCATTTAACAACTTGTCATTTTCCCCCTCTAACTTCTGTAATATCTTTATCACGTTTGAATTAGATTGCCTCACAAGAACCCAGACTAGCGAGACATGGTCCACTTCATTTTTCAGATTCAAATCAGTGTATTTTCTTGCTGATACCATTTGGATCAATTATTTACTTTTGGAATTGCATTCCGAATACCATACAAAATCAGCCTTTGATATTCGGTTAATAATTGCCTGTGAGAACAATTGATAAGATTCCAGTTAGGATTGTTATCCAGAAAACGATCCTCTCATCCCCCTGCCTGTGTGTCCTGCACAGACGCTCTGTCCGCCTGCTCTTTAGCTTTAGCCAGAACAGCTCTGCTCTCCTTGTAAGAAACTAGTTGACTTAAGATCACCTGCAAATCTCTCCAGCTGGGATCATAATGTTAAATTAAGGTTTCCGGGACTTTCACTACCCGTTCAGATTCTTCTCTGTACGCCCCCACCATCTCTTTCCAGGCTTTGAATTCTGACACTGAGAACGGCACCTTTACTCAAACAGGTCACCTGTCCAGTCCTCCCTGGATTGATAGTAATTTGTGAGTGTAAAGAAAAGTTTCACATATGTCACTTTATCCCCTTGTCCTTCCCAATGGCAAAACAACATTAATTGCAAGATTGTGTTAGAATTCAACGATCCATTAAAGGGCCATTTTCCACCACCCTCTACATGGTACAAGGGCCACCATTGATTACAATACTTGATTAACGTCTTTTTGTTCACATTCCCACCCGGTGGTCCCCCTTTGTCTTTCCAATGTGCCAGGATACACCTAGAGGGCTCTTTCCAACTATTCCTCCGCTCTGGTGCCCCCCCGTTCCTGACTACCACGGGGATTTCTTCCACAAATATATTATTCCAGCTGGTACAAATCTACCTCTATCTTACTTAGAGCTCTAAAACAACGATGACAGACAAGCTCTTGGTTGCATTCTGCTAGTACAATTTTATGTGTCCCTCCTTAAATGACTGGACCAAGCCCCACGTTTACAGCTCTGGCAGCGGGGACGAGGAGAGGGATCACTGGCAGAAGTCCACTCCTTCCCACCTGAGATTCCTAAATTGCCCTCCCGCTGTTCCACAACATACGTGTGTCAAATACCCTGCTCTCCCAACTCTTTCCACTCTTTACACTTCTTGCAACAAAAATCCCATCCGAATTGGATTCACAGCTTCTCACCACATCTTGTACATTCAAAACCAAATATGGGTTGACGTGAGTTGTTGTGGTGAAGCACACAGTGCCACCAGTAATTCTCCAGGGCTCAATACACACGTTTCGTCTGTCTTGCT